TAATCAACAAAATTGTAAACATTGCATTACAAAACCTTTTCCTTATCATCATACGGTTGTACCTTCGTCTTTGACAAATTTAACCTCGTCAATAACTCAATAACTCGAGAATGAAAGGTTTAGTTTTGGGTTAAAACATAAACAACATGAACACGGAGGTCATGGCAATGAAAATGTCATTATAAACTTGCATTGGTTTCAACTGCTGACACGTGGATTTGACGTAGTTGTAGTTAATAATTTGTAAAAAAGTATATACTTCATGACACTTGATTCCCAATGATTACTGATGGATTAACTTGAAATTATCCTCACATCTATCGCCATCGTACCCTGCAGGTGACCAAGTTGTCCATTTTGAGTCACGATTTTTCTTAGTGGCCACGAAAATAAAATCGAGTTGCTAAAATGCACATGCAGAGCATGAAAGAATTTAAGTTATACTATGTTTCGATGCTTTGTTTGTGGTCAATTACTTATTAGCCTTTGAATGTCATAATTGTCAATCAGAGAATAGATGTATTTTTAGGTGCTTGATAATGTGCTTATGAAAGCATCACAAACATTTAACATGAAAGCTAGGTTCTTTTGGTCAGTATTCCGAAGGTTGATTATATTTTGATTGGAAATTTCAATATTTTTGTGTTTTCATTATAGCCTTGTTTTTGAAAGTATCTGAATTCGCAACTCCTAAATTATCTATTCCTAAAAGTTKATGAAAGGACAGAAATGATGAATTCCTGTTCCATTAGCAAGATGTYCCTTTCTGTTATAACCATATATTTTATTAAAAAAAGTAGTTTGAATTTTCCATGTTGACCTTGGCTTGCTGATGACTAATTATCACAATAATATTAATAATTAAATAATAATGATTAATATTTATTTCAACAGGAAGTCCTGCTACGTCCATTACCCTAAGTCACCTCTCAAGATCGCTTTTGGCAAAGACCAATATTTGTACGATGACAAAGGGAACAAATACTTGGACTGCATGAATAACGTCACACATGGTAAACCTATTTGTTATATTCACATAGCTTGACAAGCTATTTTAGAGTTACACATTTCCATTGGGATTAAAAATACATTGCAGAATACATCGCAACAGCATACATCACACGCTTAACAACACCTTTACTCCGAAAAGATCAATTATCGATTAATTTTTAGCTAATTATCAATTGCATTATTTCTAGTGGGACACTGCAATGAAGATGTTATCAAAGCCTCGCATGAGCAAATGAGCACCTTAAATACCAACAACAGATTTTTATATGACAACATTGTGCATTATACAAAAAGGCTGATATCAAAACTGCCATCTCATCTCAATGTCTGTTACTTTGTGTGTACTGGGTAAGTATGTCCAGTGATTAAAAAGTCTTGCTTTGCTGTTTTTGTTTTGTTTTGTTTTGCTCTGTTTTGTTTTGTTTTGTTTTGTTTTGCTCTGTTTTGTTTTGCTCTGTTTTGTTTTGCTCTTCTTTGTTTGTTTTGTTTTGCTCTGTTTTGTTTTGTTTTGCTCTGTTTTGTTTTGCTTTGTTTTTTGTTTTGCTCTTTGTTTTGTTTTGATTGTTTGGATCTGTTTTGTTTTGCTCTGTTTTGTTTTGTTTTTTATATTATTTTGCTCTTTGTTTTGATCTGTTTTGTTCTGTTCTGTTTTGTTTTCTTTTTACTTTTTTTGTTTTTTTTTTGTGTGTGTGTGTTTATTATGTTTTTACAAAAAGCTAGATTCCTTTTAGGCTTCATGCAGGTCCTTAAACTGCTTGCAAAATGCTTGAATTTGAAGTTCATACATTCTCAAGCACACTTAAAGCTCCTTGAATGATTAATGTCCTTGAAAACTCCTTGAAAAAAGTCCAGGGAAAGAGACCTCAAAATAAAACTTTCAACACAAATAGTGCAAAGAATTAAAACATGATTTAATGAGTCAAAATTACTTCCTTTGTTTTGCAAGACTACATTGAGTAATTATGTTAACTATGTTTATCTTTCCACAGCTCAGAAGCTAATGACCTTGCTCTTAGACTAGCAAGAACATACACCAAGAACAAAGATATGCTGGTCCTTGACAGGTAGGTATAGAAAACTTACAAGGACTGAATTTACTCATTAATAACACTATAACTATCATCTTTTGCAAGACTTTATACACTGCTTTCTCATGGACGAAGGTGATTCCCAATTTTCAAATATTTCTTTTATTTTCCTTCTATCCTGCATGTATTGGTTACATTAGATTGAAGAAATGTTGTTGTAAGACAGGTTTGAGGTCTATATTAGACATGAAAAAAATTGTGCTTTCAGCTCATGATTTAAAACGTTTCTTGTGTTTTCCCAACAAATTATGCAACTTGTTTCTAAAGGCTTGTTTACACTTACACTCATGGACAATCGCCTGATTTTCGAACATGCTTGAAATTTAGCTGCAACTTGCGGCAGTTTCGATTCATGTCAATCGCAGGGAAGTTTACCATATGATTTGTGGTGCGTGAGAACAAAGNTTGTAACTCCACCAGTTTTCAACATGACAACATCTCTTCAGTTTGTGATTCCACCTAGAACAAGTAATTTTGAATTGTTCTCTCGTTTTTTAACACCACCCTATCTACTTGTTTAATCACAACAGGGTTCTCTTATATTGATTGACAAGCATTCCAACATCAGGAATCCAGCTGCAAGATCTCAAACCACTTCAAAATTGCTTCAAGATTCTTATATTAATCACTGGAGACTAATTTTCCCCCTCCCTCCCCCCCTTGTGTCAACTCCCACCCCCCTGGTTGTTAAATGTATGTGTTTGTTTACAAGAGCTTACCATGGACACACTGGAAACCTTATTGATATCAGCCCATACAAATATAATGCCCCTGGGGGAGAGGGTAAGAAGAAACATATCCATGTGATTCCYTGTCCTGACCCCTACCGGGGTGTGTACAAAGGCTATGGTCCAGAGACTGGTGAGCTTTATGCCAATRAAGTCAAAGCATTAATTGAAGAAGCTAAAGAAAATGGTCGAAAGGTAATGTTGGGATTATTATCCACACACACTTTGATATTTGGGAGTTTTCTCTGGGTGTACAGCTAGACAGACAGACAAAAGTAAGCACTGGCATTGACACAGAAATGAACATTTTATATGCATGTCATATACCATATTCTTGTGGTATAAACTAATGCCTATTTACACGGTAGGATTGTTGCCTGTGACCAGTAGTATGCAACTCAAGTGAGCTCCAAATTGCGTCGTGTAAAACACAGGCAGCCCAAACTAAGCATTTAACTAGCAGATTATAGCAATATCTATAATGCATGTAAATACGAAATTTTTGAAAGAAAAAATAAGTAAAAAACATTTGTCTTACCTTATGATGTGGTCTTAGTTATGAATTTAGGCGTAATTTGCCGTTTTTCTTTGATATCTCCCCTCCGTTACTTATATCACTCAGTTTTTTACTTATTTTTTCTTTCAAAAATTTCGTATTTACATGCATTATAGATGTCGCTATAATTTGCTAGTTAAATGCTTAGCTTGGGCTGTCTGTGTGTAAAAGTCCCCACATCTTGTCTACCTCAGTCATATGTGACCTATGACTATGTAGTAAGGATTTTGAAACAAGGCTCAAAATCCTACAACTTGTAGGAAAATCTTATACAGTAGGAAAATCTTATACTACAAGTTGCACGTAACAACCATAACAGGTAAATGGGCCTKAAGAAGATACTCTTCAGATTAGAATTTTCATGATCTCCTAATCTGAGTTCTTGTCATTTTGTGTCTTAAGATTGCTGGRATCATATGCGAGTCTGTCCAAGGATGCGGGGGTCAAATTGTCTTTCCTGATAACTTCCTGAAAACAGCATTCAAGTAATTTTATTGAAATTTTAAAATCATGTTTAATAGGTCACATGGTACTAAAAGAATTACTGGTCATTTCGCCCAAAAGACCATTTGCACCAAGTTGTTTCAATCTCCACAAGCCATGAAACAAAGCCACAAAACAAAGAAAAGTCAAGATTTAATGACTGATGCGTTCCTTTTGTTTTTGAGGTTGTTTATATTCTTTTGCCATCCAGTATGGCGGATTCAGTACCATGTGACCGTTTCATGCAAAAGGCTCATGGTTATTGTATATGTAGGATATTACATGGGCACACAGTGTTTAATTAAAGGTTTCTCCCGAGTGAGCAATGTCGAACACGAGAAGGTGAAATCAATATATCCAACTGACCATGTAGCCCCCTCCAAACTTGGGTGGGGCTGTGCCGCTAGGACCTCAAAACCCTGACCCTGTTCCAGAGTAGAATCGCTGAAAACGATACCCTATTCCAGAGTAAAATCCAGCACTAGCTTGCGTGTAGACCGAATTTATACCCCATGAATTTTTACCCAGCATCAGTAATTCCGGAATTAAACGCTGACCCTGTTCCAGAGAAAAATCAGTGTAATCAACATCCTGTTCCAGAGTAAAATCGCTAAAATGATACCCTGGTTGGCGGCACGTCCCCGTATAGTGAATCTAGGGGAGAACCCTATATACTATTAAATGATAATAATCATTAAAAGCAAATAATGATATAAATGAAATTACTTCCATTTACCTCATAGAAACCATAATTTTCAGTGAAAGCCTTTTCTTAGTATTTGCATGTTTTGCCTAAAGGTACGTCAACGAAGCAGGCGGAGTCTGTATTGCTGATGAAGTACAGTGTGGCTTTGGACGCACAGGGAAAACATTCTGGGGATTTGAAGCTCAAGGTATGGTCTATTTTCAAAAGAAACCTGGATGTTCAAAGTTTCTTAAACTATTTGGTATTAGTAGTAAAATAAACGATAAAGACAACAAGTGATTTTTACGATGTTTCGAGGTCATACTGTCCTCATTGTCAAGTACTTTTAATGGACAATAATTGTGGGCTATGACCTCGTAATGTCGTAAAAATCACTTGTTGTCTTTATCGTTTATTTTACTACTGATTTCAAAACCACTTTTGATTAAGATATTTGGTATTAATCAGGGAAATTCGGTGTGTAATTTTGTTTTGCTTAATTGATAATTGAAGATTACTCGAAGATTAACTGTACTTATTAAAGGTTTTAACAATGCGGTCCTGTTTAATTTCTTTTATTAAAAGAAAACTATTTGATTGTGATGTGGGAAAATTGGTGTAGGCGATTTAGAGTACATGCTTGACATCTTATTAACCATTCCATTCCTTTTTGCATTTGCATGTTCTGAGCTCCCAGTTAGATTGAAAATCCCCACCCTCCCCTCCCCCATCCCAATTCACACTACCCCCACCCCCCTCCCCCTGCTAATTTATGACCAAGAGTAATAACTTATTTGCATTTTTTCAGGTGCCATGCCTGACATTGTCACTCTCGGAAAACCCATTGGAAATGGACACCCATTAGCAGTTGTGGTCACTACACAGGAAATATCTGAATCATTTGCAGCTACAGGAATGACTTACTTTAACACTGTGAGTATAGTCTGTGAATAGAAGACAATAAAATAGTTTGCAATCTCAGGAGTTTTCTCTAAATTTCTGCATATTTTACACACAATTGAGGCTAAAACAGTGTAAAGGAGGTYGCRAAACTCAACTATTSCGCATGCACACGCTGTATTCAAATACTTGAAAGGGTTTTCATGGTTTTTAGTGAGTCCACTTTCTAAAGGCCCATTTACACTTGCGATTTTTGCAGAGCAATTCTCGCAGCAATCGTTGCAAAAAATTGGTTGCAACTTCTCTGCAATTTTTCATTGCCGTAACAATTGCAGGGCTGTTTACACTACGATTGTAGTTGCACAATAGCAAAGCGGCAATTGTCGTGCAATTATTGCGCTGCGAAAATTGCAAGTGTAAACTGGCCTTAACAAGTGTATCCTACAATAATATTACTGTCAGCAGCAAAGCTGTTATAAACGGTTTGTCATCTCATTCCATGTAGTATGGTGGTAACCCTGTGTCCTGTGCTGTTGGTAATGCTGTTCTTGACGTTCTTGAGAGAGACAACCTTCAAAAGCATGCCAATGATGTTGGAAATTTCTTCATTGAAAAACTGAATGAATTAAAACAGAAGCATAAACTAATAGGGGACGTCAGGTAAGTTAAGACCATCAATGAAATAGCAATAAGGTGATCGTCCAGTTTGATCACATGTTGATCACATGTGCAGTTTCAGACTGAAGGAAGGCACCATCGCAAGCCTGGAATATTTCTTATTCAAAATAGAACTGGGAGTAGAGTGTACGCCACATAAGCATGACACAATTCTTAAGTAATTAGCGCCTAATAAGATTTAGTTATCAACTAAGAATTTAGTGAGGCATAAACAAAGACAAGTTTCCTTTCTGGCGTTGTGTTCAGGGGAACCTACGTAGCACGCAGTTGATGTGATGTATTCATAAAATGTATAATTGTATTCCATTGTTTCTCGTTCTATTGTATTATGTGTTTTGTATTATATCTTTATGGATATATTACATCAACTGAGTGCTACGTAGGCTCTCCCGTTGTGTTCATGCCCCAGTGAATTCTTAGTTAGTTGATAACTAAATCTTATTAGATGTTGATAGTAAAGAATTGTTTCACGCTTTTTTGGTGTGCGCTCTAAAAGTGGAAATTTACCTTACCTCATGATATTTCAGGGGAACTGGGTTAATGATTGGTATTGAATTAGTCAAAGACAGAGAAACATTGGAACCAGCCACCTCCTTAGCAAACCAAGTTGTTTACAGGTGAGACATGAACAGGTTTCTCAAAAACATTTTAGCTTTAATGGGCCATAGTCAACCAGTATCTCTTTTGGGCTTTTTCCTCATGTTTGAAAATAATTAAAAAATACATCGTAATATTTAAACAAAAACTTACTCTTTGTTATCCCTTTATACTATATGAATGGCGGAGTTTCTTGCTGTGCGTTCTTTCACTTGTGTTTCGTTTTCACACAACATTTGTTGTTATGTTTGGGTTTAGGCTGGCGCTTGGCATTGGTCTTAGCTTTAAGTCGTAGTGAAAACCATGCTTAAGATTTGACCTTAAAACAGACAGATTATGAATGGAAATTTGGATGGAAAGTCGCGTTATTTTCCATATATGAAAAATCTAAAACACAACAGCATTGAATGCTGGTTGACCAAACCCCTTAAATCTGTCTCGCAAGCTTCTTTACACTTAATTCACACTCTGGTATATTACAGCAGAAACCGTTGCATCCTGACTTCAAAGGAAATAGTTGGGATTTAGGTTTTTCTGCGACTTAGGGGTGGAGCTTGATACTAATCAGCTAATGATTGAACAAATTTTTCGAAAAGCTCCGCCCCTCAGATTGAAAGAAAGAACAAGATCCAGACGAACTTCAAAACAAAGAGGTCGCGATGCAACGATTTCCGCTGTAATATGTTTTATATTTTTCTGTTTTTCAGGGCCAAGGATGACTTTGTGTTGCTAAGTACAGATGGCCTTCATAACAACGTCCTTAAGATCAAACCACCAATGTGTTTCAACAAGGAAAATGCTGAAAATGTCGTAGAGGTTTTGGATAAAATTCTCACAGAGTTTGAGTCAAATGAATGCTTATAAGAGTAAAACTTAATATATATTTAATAACAATGCGTATTTTCAGAGGGCAACTTTAAGGTGCTAGAGTTTGCTGTTTATTTACAATCAAAATCTAATAATCGATCATTTTTTGCCACTTTGCTATCATGCAACTAAAATCATTGTGTGTAAACAGCCTTGCAATTGTTGTGGTAATCAAAAATCATAAAGTTGCATCTAAACTTCATGCTCAAAACTCAGGCAATAATCATGCAATATCACACTGCAAAAATTGCAAGACAGTGTAAATAAAGGAGAATTACGGCTACCATGTCCTGTTTGGCACAAGAGCAAAAAATCAACTAAAATATAATGATTTACACAATAAGATTTCGCAGGTTTATGAAAGTGGCCCTGAATTATGAATTGCAATACAATGATACCAAAAATGTTTATAAGCTATGTTTTATATTCACAAGCAATTTTATTTTATTGCTGCCAGATTTATTTCAATTTAGCCTTTACATCTCATTTATGAATAAATATAATAATGGAAATTATCTCAAATACTTAAGGGTTAAGACGGATCAAGAATGAAGTAATCAATAAATAGTACAAACAATAGTATTAACAAATCTTCATTTCTTATTTAATTTATTTTTATTTAACTTTAATTACTAATCGCAAAGTTTGTATATGTCACATTTAAGTTTAACAATAGTTTGTAAAGGAAAAAAAGTTGTTTTATTTGTAATTAATGCTAAATAGCATTGATAGCAAACACTAAAATTGTAAACAACAGTAGAGTGATTGCACTTAAACTGTGCAACTGTACAAACTAAAATTAATAGTGCTATTTAGTTGTATTTAGTAAATCGTGCATGCGATACGTAAATTAAATTGAATTGATACAAATGACAGAAGTACTCAATACCGTCTTGCTTCAGGTCCACTTTTAGTACAAATTAGTACTATACTTAGATTTTGTACAGTTGCACGGTTTAAGTGCAATCACTCTACTTAATAGCAGATTTAAGACAAAAATCCAAACAAATAGTCGCTGCTGTAATGCAAATTATCATTAATTGGATTACTATTATTTATTGGTTAATAATGACATTATCTCAGAAGGTTGTCCCTCTGAGCTTGATCTGTTGTAAACCAGCCTTTCCAAATATTTTTAAAATAAAAAAATTGTGATAACTGACTACTTTAATTGACTAAGTGAATTTTTTCCACCCAATTCAAACCACCCTGGAGTAAGTTTCATTGTTCTTTATATTCTCATTTCACAGTTAAATTCTTAACAACAAAAGTTCTTTTTCCCACAGGATTTGAATATGAGTAATAACGTACATGGCAAGGCGTTAGCCGATAAGGTCTCTTGTACAAAAAGTTATTATTTTGTTGTTTCAGAGGTTGTATTCTTGATTTTTGAGTAATCTTCATGTTTTGCTGTGCCATCTTGAAAAGTAAACACATTTGAAGTGAACCTATAATTTTCTTCAAAATAAACGGAAAACCCAGTCCCCCCCCCCCTTTCCCACTGCAAGGTTTCATACAAGTTCCTTTCCTCATCCTTGACGATTTCATAGAAGCAATTGACAAATAACATTTGTAAAAGGGGAGGGAAGGTTGTAATAACACAATCATAGATGGTGTTTCACACAATTTTGCAAAAGATTGTAGAAAGTTAGTGAGCTTGCAATGACAGAAGCCTGCGAATAATTTTCTAAGTGTGAAAGAAGATTCTATCATTGCATGCTCCATGGTTGCCTTGCTTCAATGCAAAGTCATAATTACGTTTCAAGATAGCACAGGAAGAAGACTTCCTGTTATTTCACAAGCATTTTATAGCATCTTGAGCCTCCTCTTCTAAGTCCTCGCTAGTGAACATTAGGCATTAAATAAAGACAACTAAATCCAGTTTAATTGTCTTCTTTCCTGTGCAGTGAATTCCTGATATAATGTACATCCACTTCACAAATTTCAAATATTTTCATCTGCAAGAATCCAGTCCACCAGTGGACAAACTCAACAAAGGAAGCGCGTTCAACATAGAATTCTAATGATCTCTAGGGCCTTTCAGTTCACTAAATTTCTTCAAAGCATCATTAACTTCGGCATGTGTCCATGTATTATCCGATGTTGTGCTATTAGCCTTGAGTTCCATCTACAAGACAGAT